ATATCTACTAACAAGTTGTACGCACTAAGGAAATCGGCTCCGAGGATGGGTCGTTTGACATGAGCAACTATGAAAACCCATGTAAATCTTCTGCGGAGTCCGAGATCTAATATAAGTGATTGCTCACCGTACGTTTTGATAATTGATTCATTAGCCGCTACTAAGGACAATTTAGTGCTTGTCGTATGTTGTCTGCGTGAGAGATGGAGTAGGATGATGCTGATTTCTGCTCCAGTATCGACTAAAAAGTCTGAGCCAGAAATACGATCCCTGATGTGGAAGAGGCGGCTAACATGTTGGCCAGTGACAGCTGCCGCCATTACTGTCTGGCCACTTCGTTTTCCTGATGGTCTGGCTTGTTTGTTGTGAAGTTGCACGGTTTTGTGCAACGACGTGCTTTCTCACCATATTTCGAATGATACCAACAAATTTCGGCCGCCCGCTTAGGTGATCTAAGACGATGTCTGGATACTGATCTCCTTCTGAACGTAGATCTGGGGGGTCGAGAATGGATGGTGGAAATAGTCGCCTGCAGTGATGCCAGCTGCTGTGTTAACAGTGTTATTTGTTGTTGGATGTTGGGTGCGTCACTCATGTTTTCTCTACTTGAGGACTGTATCGCGTTAACGCCGCGACTATCGGGATATATTTCTATCATCTTATCGGCCATGTCTGCTAAATCATCAAGACTGACAGAGGCTCCTGATATGCTGAGGATTTGTCTGACGCTATGTGGTAACCTTTGTGACCACATCTGCTTAAGTAATGCTTCGTCTAACTTGTATGAGCCTGCTAGTTGTGTCATATGTCTAAGCAACTGTGAAGGTCTTTTGTCCCCTAACTCGCATGCGGTGAGTAGTTGCTGTAAGCGTTTTTCATCAGACTGCGAAGTACGGTGGATTACTGCGGCTTTTATTTTGTCATAGGGGTCCGTTTCTGGTACGTTATCTATCAAGTCACCAACTTCCGTTGCTACTTCTATAGGTAGTGCACCGACGACGTGGGCATATTTAGTCGCTTGCGAACGTATACCCCTCGCCAAAAATAGTGCCTCTACTTGAGCAAACCAAATTCTAGGGTTGTTGACACCGTATGTTGGTAATCTTAGTTCAGAAATAGCGTTGATTGAGTTTAAAGCATTATCTTCTGGCTGTGATGAATGAAAGGGGTTGGTTGATGGGCTATCTATATCGATAAGTTTATTAGGAGACTTCGTGTCAGAAACAAAAAATGGTGTCGTGCCAATTAATAATAATAATAAAATATGTAGATATATATATTAAATGTCTATTTTAAAAAAATCGAGGCTCACCAAATAATTGTGGTGGACCAGACAGATATGAACGCGAAAAGTATAAACAAAGTTACTAAAGATCAACAGTAATATTAATATATACAGTTAATTGTTACAAATACAATAAAAATTAGGGACGTTACTTAAATTGATCAAACGTTGCGTGTTCTGATTAGGTCCGGTAATGTAAATCCACAATTATAAATGCTTGATGATTCTGAGCAGGTTGGCGAACTCTCTAGTGATATAATCCCACGTAGAATGTGATATATTCCAATTACAGTCTATAAATAATGACAATATTTGATTTAGACGTCGGCTAACTCAATCACAAACGAAAATAGAACGAGGGATGTGTGAGTAGTAATGTATATGTTAGCCAGCAAGAATATGTCACGCTATGTTGGAATCACAACGGAAAGTGTCGTCAAGGTCATTGATTTCAGATTCAGATTTGTGTAGTAAGGACAGAAGACCTACGGCCTATGTTATTCCTTTTCTAGTATGCTTCTGTGAGTGTCCAGTCTTCTCTTGAAAGAGTCAATTGAAGGTGCGGACGCCACTGCTTCAGGCAGCAGGTTCCAAGTATTGATGACTCGTTGTGAAAACCTGTTTGCCACGGGTATTTTGTTCGTTCTTGGCTTTTCTACTCGCCTGCTATGTCCTCTGAGGTGTCCCGATCTAGTGGGAAGAAAGAGAGAGAATAAGTTAGGTCCGAAATCATTTCTCAGTATTCTGTACATCAATATTAGATCTCCCCTTAGTCTGCGATAGGACAGAGTAAAGAGGTTCAGTTTTTCAAGCCGCTCTTTATATGATAAATCCTGGAGTTCCGGAATCGCACGCGTAGCTGCCCTCTGTACTTTTTCTAGTATGTCTGAGTCACCTTTCAAACAGGGGCTTGCAGCCTGAACACAGTTCTCTAACTTAGTTCTCACTAAGGATGTGTATAATGTGGTGAACATGGTAGTGTAGAACTATGGTCTACTATGATATTAGTACTGCTCTAATAATAGACCTAATCCTAAATTTGTAGACTTTTCATGATATAACTGCCTAATCTATAAGATCTTACGTGGAAGTCACATCATCGTCTACACCAACTCACTGTATCGTAACAACTACCAATACATGATGAAGAACAAGGTTAAGCTAGAGAAAGAACAATATATTTAATATGAATAAAAGATATAAGGTAATATTCAGCAGAGACCACGCCTGCATGGCCGAGCCATTCCACTCGACCAACTCCAATTCATTCAACTCATTGTTCGCGCTTTCTCTATCGTTAGGTACTTCTCCGCGTTAAATATTGGATGTCTATTTTCCGAGTAGTCTCGTTTTCAGCTTTGAGGATTGTGTGGTTATGATCCAATGCCACTACAGTAGTATCAAACTTTGTGGATGTCCTTTTTAAAGCCCAGAGGGTTCGAAACCCCTTAACTGCGACCTCCCGGCAATGGGCCCTCGTCTTAAGATCATTGCTCACTGTCACCCCTAGGTCCTTATGAGACCGGACTACGGGTAATGACACATCCCCTATGTTGTACGTATTAACCTTTCAATCCCCCAAGTGCATGTAGACACACTTTTCCGAGTTGATAGGCATTAGCCACTCTTTAGACCAGTTTATCATATTATTTAAGTCCGCCTGAAGAGTAAATGCGTCTTTGTTTCCAGTTATTACTCGCCAAATTTTTACATCGTCAGCGTATAATAACATTGGAGACTACTATACTTGTAAGATCATTAACGTACATTATAAAAAGTAAAGGACCTAAGACGGAACCTTGGGGTACTCCACTAAGTACTGGTCTCCAGATGGAGCACTTGGAATTTACTCTTACTTTTTGCCTACGACCTACTATGAAATCCTTAATCCATTTTAAAAGAGGTCCGGCAATACCAAGGTTTGCCAACTTCAATAGCAGTCTATTAGTTGGCACCTTGTCAAAAGCCTTACTGAAGTCTATGTAGACAACATCCACTGAGTTCCCGTTGTCTAGCGCATTAATCCAGAACTCCCTAGCTACAAGGAGGTTTGTTGTACAGGATAGGTCCTTTCTAAAACCATGTTGTGCCATGTTCAGCAAGTTATTGGTTCCCATAAATGCCGTTATGGTCCGTTTGATTATTCTTTCCAGTATTTTAATTACAACACTTGTGAGGCTTACGGGTCTGTAATTCGATGGAACTTGTCGTGGACCTGTTTTATGTATGGGAGTGACGATTGCGTCCTTCCAGTCCATAGGTAACACACCTTGGTCAAGTAACATTTTGAATATCACAGTCAGTGGGGCTGCGATATATTGGGCAATATGTCTCAAGATTTTAGGGTGTAGTTCATCTGGTCCTGTTGACTTCTCCATGTTTAGGGTGCTAAGAGCCTTAAGCACATCGTTTTGGTCGAAGTCCACGGTACACGTACAGTCACTTAATGATGAATGTACATACAGTGAAAAATTGACAAAACAAATACAAATAACATTCAAAACTATCTACAAAATAAGGTTGTCAGGTCTATCTCCACAAACTCACTGGGCCTATCGATGCTGCCCAACCATAGTCGATTGCTAAGGGACGCTGACTACTACCTCAACAAGTCAGGAGAACCTCACAATCAACTGCCTACTACCAGTGGTCTTGCATCTATGGAGCCTGTAACCCATCAACCGATTAGGATGGCATAAAATGAGATAAGAACCAAGCTAATGTGGGTTCCTTCTTGTCTATTCTTTATCAGCTTTTTACTCTCCTGTATACTATGTTGACTTGCCATTATTATTATCTCACCACTTGTTACCGTATCCATAACTCATATTTCTATACTTTTCCACCTACATTGGTAAACAACTGTCCTATAATAATATACTTCTGAATGAGCAGACGCATGCCATTTTTACAGGCATGACCTTCAAATTACAACATTTGTTGGCTCACAGTATGCTTCCCAAACTATTAAGTTTATAGTTGTTATAAATTAGACTTGTAGAGCGCTTGCTGTAAACTATGACCTTGGGGAGATGCGTACGTCAAGTTTGTCTCAGACGTCAGAAGTTTCATAGATGTGTCCTCAGAGCAAATTTTTTGAAGAAAAAAAGAGAAAAAGAAGAGCAGCAAGGCACTTGGATATGAACGCCAAACGTTGCTCAACATTGTGTAGTAGAAGGGACAGAGGTAAACTAAATTAGAATAAATTCATATTATCTCTTGTTAGAGTGAAGTGAAGTCAGAGGCCCCATATTAGAGAATGTAGTAATAAAGAACAGTTAGTTGTGTCGTTTAACAAGTTGAAGTAAGCTCACATGAAGGAAGGGAAGTCAAAGCTGGTACAAGGAAAGCGGTTTATTAGAAGGGCGTGTATATAGATGGTGAAGTGTTAAGAATACTAATGACTATATTTTGTTGTCTGATTTTTTCTTTTTTTGTCTATCCGATGCCAGCCACACAATTCTAGTGTAAAAGTCGGAGTTAGCGTGTTATAAGTTGTCTTAGTAGAATAGCTAATCCAGCTTAATATTGGAAACATGAGTCTGAGTAGTGAGCGTAGGAAGACAATCTATATCTCAGATTGATCGACTTATTCTCAGTCATAAAGAGTTTGATACGAACAAAATGTTCTGCCCCACAAACTTGGGTGGATTGAAGTCATCGCCCTCAGCATCACTGCTTGCTAGTCAGTAACTCCACCCTCCCTCCTTTTGTGATGTTGGGCTCATTTAAGCTTATTTTTGTATATATGTCATACCTCACACAATCCTCTGTGTTTCACAACTTGTTCGAAAGCACTATTTTTATAAGTACCATTTTACAAGCTTATCAGGCAGTTACAAGCTATGGACTATGTGTAAGGCATCGATGCAGTGCCTCTGTTGACTATAGTATAAAGTATAGTTTGCCAATCAGAGTATAAGCATTAGGAAGGGTATATTGTAGGATAGTTGTTTATTTAAGCAGGCGGAAAAAGTATAGAAGTATATGAGTTGTGGATAAGGGAACGAGTGGAGAAATATTATTTATTGCTAGTCAACATAGTGTACAGAAGAGTAAAACGTTAATACAGGATAAACAGGAAGAAACTCACAGTAACTTGGTGCTGATGTTATTTTCTGTTGTCTCAACCAGTTGATTGGTAACAGGCTCCATAGATGCAAGACCACTGGTAGTAGGCAGCCGATTGTGCGTTCCTCTTGACTTTTTAGGGTGGTAGTGAGTGTCCATTATCGACCAAGTTTAGTTTAACAGTAATGATAGGTCCAGTGAGTTACCTGTCTACTTCAAGTGAAGAAATAGGGTGGAAAAAGTAATTAATACAACTGCAAAGTAGGAAAAATAAGGCAAATTGAATTTGAAGTCCATTTTAGTCTAGACATGGAGAGAGCCTATGATATCTGAGTGGGGCGCAGATGTGTTCGTACGTGCAAGATCAGTGTGAGTGAGGGCTTGATTAAGCAGTTTTACAAACGTATGTAGTTCATCCGCCATGCGAGTTTCGGAGGGAAGACTGTTCCATATTATTGCATACTTGGTGAGGAAGAAGTTTTCCCGAGTTTTTGATCTGTATTTCTCAACTTTGACCGTAGATACTTTGTTTCGAAGTCCGTATTCATGTGAATCTCGGGCAAGAATTATCTGACATGTTGAGTAAGTAAGGTTTTTGAGTAGTTTGAAGTAGAGAATCAAATTAGACCTAAGTCTTCTCTCCCAAAGGGGTGCTATTCCTATGATTTGGCATCGAGAACTGTAGTCAATGACCGAGTCAGTCTTAAGTACTTTGCGGGTGAAGTCTCGTTGTATTCCTTCCACCTTTAGTATATCAGACAGGCGTAGGTTGGAAAATAAGAACGAGCAGTATTCAGCGATAGGTCTTACACAACCTTTATAAAGAAGGATTTTAGATTCATTTTGATAGAAATTACGGAGAATGAAGCCAAGCAGTTCCTGCATTATAGATGCTTTGGCTGAGACGTGTTCAGAGAAATTAAGACTGTGTGAGTAATGTACCCCTAGGTCAGTTACTGATGTCAGTCTGGGCAGTGTGTGATCGCTAAGTGTTAGTTTTATTTTAAGAGACGTGTCTCCTATACATAACCAGCCGCATTTCTCTATGTTGAGCTCTAACCTCCAGCGTTTGCACCAGTCATCTACCATGTTGAGTTCATGTTGGATTGTTTGCATAGTACTGCGTAAATCGCAAATGTCAGTTTAATAGATGACTTTTAAGTCATCGGCATAGAGGTAGGTCTTACCTGTGCTAAAACACTTGCATATATTGTCGATGTAGATTATAAAGAGCAATGGGCCCAAGACACTACCCTGCACAACACCACTGGTTATCGGTCGAGGTGTAGATGTATTAAAGTTAATCTTGGTTATTTGATATCTGTTCGTAAGAAAAGACTTGATTCATTGCACAAGGGGATTTATAATTCCAACTGACTTCAGTCTGTTGATTAGAAGATTATGAGGTACTTTATCAAAGTATAGTATAATAACTAGTTTCTTCTGGTCACGTATACGAGTAACCTCGTTAAAGAAGTCTATCAGACATGTACTGCACGACCTTGTTCTAATGAAGCCGTGTTGTGACGGGTCTATTAGATCTTCTTTGAGTAGGTGATCAGATAGTTGATTTTGCATCACTTTTTCCATCATGCGTGATATGACTGGAGTGATATTTATAGGTCTGTAGTTTTCGACCAGGTTTCTCTGTCCTGATTTGTGTTTGGGAAGAACACATGTTACCTTTCAGGTTTCCGGATATATACCTGTTTCTAAAGATAATGTGTATATTTTGAGTAGTAGCGTCTGTATTTCCGGTCCTGACTTTTTATAAAAGATTGAAGGGATGTTATCGGCACCAGAGCTCGCATTTGGCTTAAGGGTTTTAATGGCGGTATGTCTACTCCTAATGTCGAAGTTTATGGTACTAAGATAGTTTTGCCGGTGCACTTTATGTCGATATCTGGAGCATCAGATGTATTCCCATTGTGAGAAAACCATTCACTTAATAGTTCACATATGACGGTTTGGTCATTATACGTTTCTCCATCGTGCAGCAATGGGTGAATATTGTTGTCTGCGTTCTTTCTTTAAGTATACCGGATAGGCGTATGTTGGAAAAGAGAACAAACGGTATTCAATGATAGGTCTTACACATACCTTGTAAAGAATGATTTTAGATTCATTTTGAAAGACGTCATGAAAAATGAATCCTAGCAATTTCCTTATTTTAGATACTTTGCTATGTGCCCTCGGTATGGTGATCAGAGCTTGCGAGAGCAAAGTCACTTAGCAAGAGAAAAAAGGTGAGAAAATGAAACATCAATATCTGAGGAAGTGCGGCGTGCGAACTACCCATTACCATCTTGGTGAGGTGCGATTTTCCATGCTCTGTCGGGTTATCAGCCGTTAGCTCACCTGCCTCTTGAGTCGCCCTCATATGAAAACTAAATAGGAATCTACTTTAAAGGCAAGGATGAAAACCAACCAAACCTGAGGAACTGCTTCGCTGCCTGCATAAAATAATAAGGTACAAAAAGGAAATGCATAAACATAATTGATAATTTTTCGGTTCCACGTAGGTGTTTTGTTTACAGAATGGATTGTTAGTCTGGGTTGCTTTGACAGTGGCATTACTTTGGTCGTGTCACAGTAAATGAGAGTATCGTCAATAGGCGATGGTAACTGCTTTAGTTTGATACTAGAGTTGTTTGTTGTAAGTAGGTTTTGTAATTCTTGATACTCTTCCTGTTTGTCTCGAAAATTAACGTAGACTGTTGTATCATGTTTATTTTTAGTTGAGATAGTGCATCTGCCGCCAAGTTTTCGGATATCAATTGTGAACTGTGTTAATTAACCAAAGCGTCAGACTTCTCGAGGTGAGTATTAATGGGCTCTCGCTTTTAGTGCATTGGTCAGTGGTTTGTGATCCTTGAAAACTACTACGTCTCTTCCTTCAAACATGTGCCGAAATACCTAGTGGTTAAGTAGATCGCAAGAACTTCTCGCCCGAATGAAGAATACCTTGTCTCTGCTGGAGCGAGTCTTTCTGAAAAAAAGCAATTGGTTTCCAGGCGTTTTTAACCAGTTGGTCAAAAATACCACCTACTGCTTTATCTGAAGCACTCACCATCAAATCAGTTGTGGAAAGAGAATTTGGATAAATCAACGTATATGCTCGAGCCAGTTTAACTTTTAGCTGTTTAATAGATATAACGGCCTCAGAAAACAGTTTGAATTCTTTTGGTTTTCCTTTACATGAATCTGTCGAAGGCTGCAATATTTGTGCACAACCGGGTATGAATCTGTAGTAGAAGTTAATTAGACATAGAAAACTTCCAATTTGTGTTACAGAACTAGGTATGGGGTATTGTCTGATGGTGTCCATCTCTTCTTTGATCGATGTAATCCCCTCAGGGCTTATTGTGTCCGGGAAAGTATAGAGTTCAAGCATTAAAAAACAATTTGATGTGCGTTCATTCCATTTTCATCCGGCCGTTTTAGCACTGATCTCACATGCTGTTCGTGTGATTGTAACTCGAATTAGCAATTAACAAATCATCTGAATACCCCTGTGCAAATTGCATAACCCGAAGCGGGTTACCCATGAATCTTTGACATTTTTATGCCGCGTTCCTCAGGCCGGATGACGTGCGTACAAGCTCGAACAGTCCAGAAGGTGTAGTAATAGCTGTCTCTGAGATATTTTCATCAGCTAGCGGGATATTGTGATATGTCATAGGTCAATTTTGGTAAATATGTTCATACCATATAAACCATTTGTGAAATCTTGGATATGAGGTATTGGGTACCTATTTGGTACTGTTTGACGGTTGAGGGCTCTGTAGTCCTCTCATGTTCGCTAATCGCCCTTCTTCTTCTTTCGGACCATATACAAAGGGGATGCCTATTGACTATCAGAGGGACGGATAATACCCACTTGTAGCATGTAGTCAAATTCAGCTCTAGCGATTTTGAGATTATCTGGTTCCAGTCTCCTGCGTCTTGTGAGCACAGGTGCACCTTGGGTTTTGACCTTATAACTTACTTTTAGTTTGCTTTTGGAAGGCTGTGGGTTCGATTTAGTTAAGTTTGGAAATTTCGCTAATTTATCTCGGAATTTCGCTCTTGTTACTGGAAGAGTTTGTATCAAGTTGAGAAATGTGATGTGAATCTCTTTGCCTTTCGTATAATTTTTAGTTTATTTCAGTGTCAAGCGACGATTTTTAGTATCAACTAGAGATTCGTATCTCTCTATAAAGTTCATACACAGTATTGCCCGTTATAAGTCGGTTACAGTGAAAACGCAGTGATACCAACTGAACTGCCCAGAGTGTCTGGATATTTGTGACTTGAGTCTTGGTCGTTATGGTGACCTACCCCTGTTTCTATGACTCATCTGCATTCTGGCGACAGCCTCAGTAACTTTTAACACTCAAAGTTAGTCCTTCTATGACTGAGTCTCTTGATGGTTTTTTTGTGTGTGTGATTTATCATGTGTGATCCAGTTGGGGAAACTCTTTCTATTATTTGATCGGCTATACGCGCTAGATGCATCCAAACAGTGTTGAACGTAACATGGAAAAGCTTGTATCCATTCTTTTTTTAGGACTGCTTCATCCATTGACCGCGCTTTTCGAACGGGAAGTTTAGTCCTAACGTGATTTGCATTTATCAAACTTGCTGTGTTCTTACGCAACAAAAGTACCATTTCTGACCAAAAGAATGTATCCTGAGCTAAACGTTCGGTAGATTACTTTTTTTGAGTTTCATCCAATTAAATAGTTAACTGTGGTTTTGCCTCAGCTTACTATTCGGTTTTTTTCTTCAGTTTTTCACGTAAAGACTAGTTCAGTTTATCTCATCCGTTTTATCGATTTTTGTCCGTTTCCAGTGTGTTTTTGGTGTACTTTTTACGGTCTAAGGCTTTTGCTAGCATCTGCAACACAGTTTACGTCATTACAGTCATGAAAATTCATGCAAACGACCTGGATGCCGTTTTGCTGTTACATCTGGCATACAGTGCGACAACTGCAAAGGTTGGTTCCACGAAGCGTGCGCAGATCTCACAGCAACTGCTTATAGCAGACTCAGCAGGTCGGATCATAAGTGGGAATGTGTTACGTGCGGCACGGATGCTGAGGTCTTGCTGAGTAATATCATTGTCCTACTGACAGGTCTGCAGAGCAAGTTGTCGGCAAACTTGGTAAAAGACAGTCAAAAAATGGGTAAACAAACAAGAGAGCGCATTGAAATCGAGAACAGGGATGTCGACAGGTCTACCAACGACGGAGCATGCAACAGCATTAATGATGACACGCTGAAACTCAGCACCATGATTACGACGACGGTACTCGACTCCCTCAGCAAACTCGGGTCTCACAGCTCAAGGTCCTTGAACGCGACAGTGGTTCCCAAAAACTCTGTAGGTGATTGGACCCATGTCAAAAGAGCTAAAAAGGGCCGGGCGTCACAGTCTAAGTTGAACATCCCAGCTGTTGAACGGAAGTCGACTGGTGAGCTGGTCGCACAGTCTACCCCCAAGATTGTCCGTCCGGTCATCAAAGAGCCAAGGATTCATAAACGTGCTCCGACCCCCAAACAACAAGGTGCTAAACCTGAACGCACCGGAAAACCTGGGACGACAATAACGGTTCGTGATGACTCTCTCATAGTCATAAACTTCAAAAACAACCCTGACCTTCCTCTCAGTTTGCAGGACAAAAATGATAGGATGCTCTGGAGAGAATTGAACAAGAAACTTGGACTTCCAAGAATAGAGCCTTTGACAGTCATACGGCTTACTCGGGGAAGGGAATCTAAGCATCAAAATCATCCGAAGCTACTTCGTGTAACACTTAAGAATGCTACTGACGTAGAGGATGTCTTACTAGCTAGCCACTTACTGAAATCAGATGGGAATGTAAGAATACTGCCTGACATACCGTATTCTGAGTGCAATCTCATCCGGAACATCCCCAAAGAAACTCGCGATCTGTTCTTCCGCGGGAGGAATATAATCGTGCAAGGTATACCGGAAAATACGGACCCTACTCAATCAAATTCTGACATCAGGGAATGGAAATTCATCAAACAGTCCTTGAGGCTCAAAAACATACTGACTCAGCATGTGACGAGACTAGCCAAGAAGGATGGTGATTCTAAACCCCGTCTAATGAAGATAACCTTCCCATCTTCCCATAGGGCGGCTGCAACTCTAGAAGCATTTCGTGCCAACAGACGTCGAATGCCACCTGGAATCCACATGCACCCGGATAGGCCATACGAAGGCAAGTTGGGGCTGATCATTCCACTTGTGGACTGTCTAGGCGATAGAAAAACGTGTAAAGGACAGGGCCTACCACCTCGGCAAACCTCTTATAGATGGGCTACCTGTCCATTCACGTAAGGCTCATGCAGACAAACAGGAAGAAGCTCACGCGTTCCAAATTGAAAGCATAAACTGCCTATATATGAGCGCCGCGAGTCTACCAAACAAATTGGATAAACTACGTGAACTTGTGAACCTGTCCACTGCAGTGAGAATGTGGGTGAAGGAGTTTGACGGAGGCAGTGGCCCAACTAAGTCCAAATGAATATGTTGAAAACGTTTGTCGGGAATAGGGAATTCTCCGATCGGGCTGATAGTGTGTTTTTGGATTTTGCTGCGTTGGCACTGGAGGCAGTTACGTGTCCAACGTTTAACATCCGAATTGATTTTTGGCCAAACAAAGCGTTCTGTGGTAAGCTTCGTGGTAGCTCTGATGCCTGGATGCGACAGTCCATGTAGCTGTTGAAATAATTTTCGTCGATAGGGTTGTGGCACAAAGGGGCGATTGTTACCCGTTGAAGTATCGCAAATAATAGATGCATCTGAGAAAGGAATGGGTACAGATTTAAGATTCAAGTTAGACTTCTCGTTGCAGATCTTCAAATCTACATCGTCCACTTGTAGTTTAGCTAAAGCTTCAAGACTGATGTTGCGGTTGCGTACCATCATGTTGATATCCTTTCTAGATAGAGCGTCAGCAACAATGTTGGAGGAACCTTTGATGTACTGGATGTCCGTAGTGAATTGAGAAATGTAATCCAGTTGTCTCGCTTCCCGTGGAGAATGTTTGTCGTAGGTCGTGTTGAAAGAATAGCAAAGTGGTTTATGATCAGTCATAATGGTGAAATCGCGTCCCTGAAGGAGGAAGTTGAAGTGTTTTACAGTTAAGTACATAGCCAGAAGTTCGCCTCCGAAGGTGCTATAACGCTCTTGAGTTGATGATAATCGTTTGGAAAAGAACGCTATAGGAGTAATCTTGTCGTTAACGCATTGCTGTAATACTGCTCCTACTGCTTTTGGGGAGGCGTCAGTGCAGAGGATGAGGTTTGTTGTGGGATCGGTGTTTAGGTGCTGTAGCATGGTAGCATTAGATATCATCAACTTTGCTTTCTCGAATGCTGTTTTGGCGTCAGGGGGTAGGTTGAATGTCTGACTCTTCTCTTTCTTCGTACTTTTTTTGTCGGCTTTCAGCAGATCGGTTAATGGCTGTAATACTTCAGCACAATGTAGTAAGAAACAGCGATAAAAATTACACATACCGAGGAAGCGTCGTAATGACTTCACTGAGGTTGGTTCGGGGTAGTTAGTAATATCTTCAACTTTCGTCTCAAGTGGTTTGATCCCTTGTGAGTCGACGTAATGTCCCAAAAACTCTAAGGCTGGGACTGCGAATATGCATTTCGAAGGATTGATGACGACGCCATGTTTTTAAAACGATCAAAAAGGATCTGGACGTGTTGGATGTGCTCTTCTAAAGATGAGCTTGCAATCAGAACATCGTCGATGTAGGCAAACACGAAATCAAGGCCTCTTGTTACTTCATCCATGAAGCGTTGGAATGTCTGCGCAGCGTTTATCAGTCCAAATGGCATCCTTAGAAACTCAAACAAACCAAAAGGTGTGATTATGGCTGTTTTCTCGATGTCTTCTGGTGCCATCGGAATTTGATGGTATGCGCGCACGAGGTCAAGTTTCGAGAAGATGCATTTACCATGTAAATTTAACGAGAAGTCATGTATATGAGGGATAGGGTACCTATTAGGGATGGTTTGATTATTCAGACGGCGATAGTCACCACACGGACGCCAATCTTGGTCTTTCTTTGGTACCATGTGTAACGGCGAGGCCCAAGGGCTGTTGGATGGTCTGATAATACCAAGTTGCATCATATGTTCGAATTCTCTTTTAGCTACTTGCAACTTGCTTGGTGGTAGTCTCCTCGCCCTGGCGCTAATAGGGGGACCGGTGGTAATGATAAGGTGTTGTACCTGATGTGGGTTACATTCCTTTTGATAATCTGATTTTGTGATGCACTCGTATTCTGACAGGATGTCATTGAAAACGTTGTTCACAGGCTTCATTATTCGTACACCATGGATTTCACAGTCGTTGGAAGGTGTACCATCTACCTGTAAACGTGTATTTGCATCGATCAATCTCTTCTCAGTCATATCTACTAACAAGTTGTACGCACTAAGGAAATCGGCTCCGAGGATGGGTCGTTTGACATGAGCAACTATGAAAACCCATGTAAATCTTCTGCGGAGTCCGAGATCTAATATAAGTGATTGCTCACCGTACGTTTTGATAATTGATTCATTAGCCGCTACTAAGGACAATTTAGTGCTTGTCGTATGTTGTCTGCGTGAGAGATGGAGTAGGATGATGCTGATTTCTGCTCCAGTATCGACTAAAAAGTCTGAGCCAGAAATACGATCCCTGATGTGGAAGAGGCGGCTAACATGTTGGCCAGTGACAGCTGCCGCCATTACTGTCTGGCCACTTCGTTTTCCTGATGGTCTGGCTTGTTTGTTGTGAAGTTGCACGGTTTTGTGCAACGACGTGCTTTCTCACCATATTTCGAATGATACCAACAAATTTCGGCCGCCCGCTTAGGTGATCTAAGACGATGTCTGGATACTGATCTCCTTCTGAACGTAGATCTGGGGGGTCGAGAATGGATGGTGGAAATAGTCGCCTGCAGTGATGCCAGCTGCTGTGTTAACAGTGTTATTTGTTGTTGGATGTTGGGTGCGTCACTCATGTTTTCTCTACTTGAGGACTGTATCGCGTTAACGCCGCGACTATCGGGATATATTTCTATCATCTTATCGGCCATGTCTGCTAAATCATCAAGACTGACAGAGGCTCCTGATATGCTGAGGATTTGTCTGACGCTATGTGGTAACCTTTGTGACCACATCTACTTAAATAATGCTTCGTCTAACTTGTATGAGCCTGCTAGTTGTCTCATATGTCTAAGCAACTGTGAAGGTCTTTTGTCTCCTAACTCCCATGCGGTGTGTAGTTGCTGTAAGCGTTTTTATCAGACTGCGATGTACAGTGAATTACTGCGGCTTTTATTTTGTCATAGGGGTCCGTTTCTGGTACGTTATCTATCAAGTCACCAACTTCCGTTGCTACTTCTATAGGTAGTGCACCGACGACGTGGGCATATTTAGTCGCTTGCGAACGTATACCCCTCGCCAAAAATAGTGCCTCTACTTGAGCAAACCAAATTCTAGGGTTGTTGACACCGTATGTTGGTAATCTTAGTTCAGAAATAGCGTTGATTGAGTTTAAAGCATTATCTTCTGGCTGTGATGAATGAAAGGGGTTGGTTGATGGGCTATCTATATCGATAAGTTTATTAGGAGACTTCGTGTCAGAAACAAAAAATGGTGTCGTGCCAATTAATAATAATAATAAAATATGTAGATATATATATTAAATGTCTATTTTAAAAAAATCGAGGCTCACCAAATAATTGTGGTGGACCAGACAGATATGAACGCGAAAAGTATAAACAAAGTTACTAAAGATCAACAGTAATATTAATATATACAGTTAATTGTTACAAATACAATAAAAATTAGGGACGTTACTTAAATTGATCAAACGTTGCGTGTTCTGATTAGGTCCGGTAATGTAAATCCACAATTATAAATGCTTGATGATTCTGAGCAGGTTGGCGAACTCTCTAGTGATATAATCCCACGTAGAATGTGATATATTCCAATTACAGTCTATAAATAATGACAATATTTGATTTAGACGTCGGCTAACTCAATCACAAACGAAAATAGAACGAGGGATGTGTGAGTAGTAATGTATTTGTTAGCCAGCAAGAATATGTCACGCTATGTTGGAATCACAACGGAAAGGACAGAAGACCTACGGCCTATGTTATTCCTTTTCTAGTATGCTTCTGTGAGTGTCCAGTCTTCTCTTGAAAGAGTCAATTGAAGGTGCGGACGCCACTGCTTCAGGCAGCAGGTTCCAAGTATTGATGACTCGTTGTGAAAACCTGTTTGCCACGGGTATTTTGTTCGTTCTTGGCTTTTCTACTCGCCTGCTATGTCCTCTGAGGTGTCCCGATCTAGTGGGAAGAAAGAGAGAGAATAAGTTAGGTCCGAAATCATTTCTCAGTATTCTGTACATCAATATTAGATCTCCCCTTAGTCTGCGATAGGACAGAGTAAAGAGGTTCAGTTTTTCAAGCCGCTCTTTATATGATAAATCCTGGAGTTCCGGAATCGCACGCGTAGCTGCCCTCTGTACTTTTTCTAGTATGTCTGAGTCACCTTTCAAACAGGGGCTTGCAGCCTGAACACAGTTCTCTAACTTAGTTCTCACTAAGGATGTGTATAATGTGGTGAACATGGTAGTGTAGAACTATGGTCTACTATGATATTAGTACTGCTCTAATAATAGACCTAATCCTAAATTTGTAGATTTTTCATGATATAACTGCCTAATCTATAAGATCTTACGTGGAAGTCACATCATCGTCTACACCAACTCACTGTATCGTAACAACTACCAATACATGATGAAGAACAAGGTTAAGCTAGAGAAAGAACAATATATTTAATATGAATAAAAGATATAAGGTAATATTCAGCAGAGACCACGCCTGCATGGCCGAGCCATTCCACTCGACCAACTCCAATTCATTCAACTCATTGTTCGCGCTTTCTCTATCGTTAGGTACTTCTCCGCGTTAAATATTGGATGTCTATTTTCCGAGTAGTCTCGTTTTCAGCTTTGAGGATTGTGTGGTTATGATCCAATGCCACTACAGTAGTATCAAACTTTGTGGATGTCCTTTTTAAAGCCCAGAGGGTTCGAAACCCCTTAACTGCGACCTCCCGGCAATGGGCCCTCGTCTTAAGATCATTGCTCACTGTCACCCCTAGGTCCTTATGAGACCGGACTACGGGTAATGACACATCCCCTATGTTGTACGTATTAACCTTTCAATCCCCCAAGTGCATGTAGACACACTTTTCCGAGTTGATAGGCATTAGCCACTCTTTAGACCAGTTTATCATATTATTTAAGTCCGCCTGAAGAGTAAATGCGTCTTTGTTTCCAGTTATTACTCGCCAAATTTTTACATCGTCAGCGTATAATAACATTGGAGACTACTATACTTGTAAGATCATTAACGTACATTATAAAAAGTAAAGGACCTAAGACGGAACCTTGGGGTACTCCACTAAGTACTGGTCTCCAGATGGAGCACTTGGAATTTACTCTTACTTTTTGCCTACGACCTACTATGAAATCCTTAATCCATTTTAAAAGAGGTCCGGCAATACCAAGGTTTGCCAACTTCAATAGCAGTCTATTAGTTGGCACCTTGTCAAAAGCCTTACTGAAGTCTATGTAGACAACATCCACTGAGTTCCCGTTGTCTAGCGCATTAATCCAGAACTCCCTAGCTACAAGGAGGTTTGTTGTACAGGATAGGTCCTTTCTAAAACCATGTTGTGCCATGTTCAGCAAGTTATTGGTTCCCATAAATGCCGTTATGGTCCGTTTGATTATTCTTTCCAGTATTTTAATTACAACACTTGTGAGGCTTACGGGTCTGTAATTCGATGGAACTTGTCGTGGACCTGTTTTATGTATGGGAGTGACGATTGCGTCCTTCCAGTCCATAGGTAACACACCTTGGTCAAGTAACATTTTGAATATCACAGTCAGTGGGGCTGCGATATATTGGGCAATATGTCTCAAGATTTTAGGGTGTAGTTCATCTGGTCCTGTTGACTTCTCCATGTTTAGGGTGCTAAGAGCCTTAAGCACATCGTTTTGGTCGAAGTCCACGGTACACGTACAGTCACTTAATGATGAATGTACATACAGTGAAAAATTGACAAAACAAATACAAATAACATTCAAAACTATCTACAAAATAAGGTTGTCAGGTCTATCTCCACAAACTCACTGGGCCTATCGATGCTGCCCAACCATAGTCGATTGCTAAGGGACGCTGACTACTACCTCAACAAGTCAGGAGAACCTCACAATCAACTGCCTACTACCAGTGGTCTTGCATCTATGGAGCCTGTAACCCATCAACCGATTAGGATGGCATAAAATGAGATAAGAACCAAGCTAATGTGGGTTCCTTCTTGTCTATTCTTTATCAGCTTTTTACTCTCCTGTATACTATGTTGACTTGCCATTATTATTATCTCACCACTTGTTACCGTATCCATAACTCATATTTCTATACTTTTCCACCTACATTGGTAAACAACTGTCCTATAATAATATACTTCTGAATGAGCAGACGCATGCCATTTTTACAGGCATGACCTTCAAATTACAACATTTGTTGGCTCACAGTATGCTTCCCAAACTATTAAGTTTATAGTTGTTATAAATTAGACTTGTAGAGCGCTTGCTGTAAACTATGACCTTGGGGAGATGCGTACGTCAAGTTTGTCTCAGACGTCAGAAGTTTCATAGATGTGTCCTCAGAGCAAATTTTTTGAAGAAAAAAAGAGAAAAAGAAGAGCAGCAAGGCACTTGGATATGAACGCCAAACGTTGCTCAACATTGTGTAGTAGAAGGGACAGAGGTAAACTAAATTAGAATAAATTCATATTATCTCTTGTTAGAGTGAAGTGAAGTCAGAGGCCCCATATTAGAGAATGTAGTAATAAAGAACAGTTAGTTGTGTCGTTTAACAAGTTGAAGTAAGCTCACATGAAGGAAGGGAAGTCAAAGCTGGTACAAGGAAAGCGGTTTATTAGAAGGGCGTGTATATAGATGGTGAAGTGTTAAGAATACTAATGACTATATTTTGTTGTCTGATTTTTTCTTTTTTTGTCTATCCGATGCCAGCCACACAATTCTAGTGTAAAAGTCGGAGTTAGCGTGTTATAAGTTGTCTTAGTAGAATAGCTAATCCAGCTTAATATTGGAAACATGAGTCTGAGTAGTGAGCGTAGGAAGACAATCTATATCTCAGATTGATCGACTTATTCTCAGTCATAAAGAGTTTGATACGAACAAAATGTTCTGCCCCACAAACTTGGGTGGATTGAAGTCATCGCCCTCAGCATCACTGCTTGCTAGTCAGTAACTCCACCCTCCCTCCTTTTGTGATGTTGGGCTCATTTAAGCTTATTTTTGTATATATGTCATACCTCACACAATCCTCTGTGTTTCACAACTTGTTCGAAAGCACTATTTTTATAAGTACCATTTTACAAGCTTATCAGGCAGTTACAAGCTATGGACTATGTGTAAGGCATCGATGCAGTGCCTCTGTTGACTATAGTATAAAGTATAGTTTGCCAATCAGAGTATAAGCATTAGGAAGGGTATATTGTAGGATAGTTGTTTATTTAAGCAGGCGGAAAAAGTATAGAAGTATATGAGTTGTGGATAAGGGAACGAGTGGAGAAATATTATTTATTGCTAGTCAACATAGTGTACAGAAGAGTAAAACGTTAATACAGGATAAACAGGAAGAAACTCACAGTAACTTGGTGCTGATGTTATTTTCTGTTGTCTCA